GGAGGCTGCAGGAGGGGGGGCTCCCCAGATGACACGGTGCCCCAGAACCTGAACACAGATAAGGGTTGAGCAGGCAAACAGGTCAGTGACAAAAGGTAACTAGATTTGCAGGAAAAACAAAAGCTCTAAAAACTATACAAACACAGCATCGTTTATCAGTTAGTAATTTCATTATCCACAGCGCAACACAGAGAGTAGGATTTAGTTTATAAAACCAAAAACATCAAGATGAACATTGTATTTTTGTTACATTAACCTAAGAGGGCTGGCGAGATGGCTCAGTGGTCTAAAGCACCTACTTAGAACAAGCTTAGCAAAGCATCAGGGACCGACCGCGGTTCAATCCCCCAGCACCACATGCCAGCCAGCCCCGCCCCGTGGTGGGCTGAGCTGGCCACACACACACCTCTCTCTCTCTCTCTCTCTCTCTCTCTCTCTCTCTCTCTCTCTCTCTCAAATAAATAAAAATTAAAAAAAAAAAAAAAAAAAAAAAAAAAAAACCTAAGAGGCAGAGGGAGAATGGTGAAAGAACTGGAAGGGAAGAAAGGAGAGTCTGACACCGTAGGACAGCAAGTGACCAACACCTCCACAATGGACAGACAAAAGCTGGCACGGCAGCCTGGTACCCCACAATGCAGAGAGCTGTTGGCCAGAGGCAGGGGCAGTGAAGGCAACTTTCTCCTTCCACACCGCATGGCTTGTATTTCAGTGCAGCAGCCCCAGGCCAGACTGCCAGGGTGTGGCCTGGGCTGTCACCCGCTAGTCCTGCACCCTTGGCAAGCTACTGGGCTTTTTCAGAACTAACTCATGCTCTACACAGTGGAGACGAAACATGCGTTAGAGGGGTGCTTGTTTAAAACCAAGGGTCCAATAAAACATATGGACCCTTTTTATATGCCAAAGAATGCCCGGCATATAAAACGATTAATGAAAATTTATATCAAAAACAACAAAAATACACTTTTAAAAAAGCCTAAGGAATGGTGACTATGCTATCCAACCAATCTAGGAGAATAATAAAGTACAATACAATAAGCCTGAAGAACCCGGCTGGCCCTGCCAGGCTGTCAGTGTGGGTGGGCCCCCTCTGCCCCAGGCTGGGGGTCAGCCAGTGACTCCCTCAGGTTCTGCCCCCTCCTCAGAAAGCCTCTGGGTCACTCCAGTGCTATCCCTCCCCTTTCCCTCTGCCACGGGCTACCACACCCCTGAAGGTTTCTCTTCCCCAGGAAAGATGGCTTCAGGTCCACTGGAGCCACCCTCAGCCTCTCGCCACACAGCTCCCAGAGGGTGCAAGAGCAGCCAGCTCCCACAGGGATGGAGAGGGCTTAGGAATGACTGCGCCCATGGGGCTGAGCAGGGCAGGACACACTCCCTTGTGAGGACAGTTTCCTTTGGCAACCACACCTTACACTTGGTACTTTCTGAGCAGCAGCGGCGGCGGCAGTGGCAAGACCTTCGTTTGCTCTTCAAACAGGACTCTTCTACTCCCTGATTGATTTTTTCCTGAGACAAAGCCTTGCTATGGTATCCAGGTTGACCACAAACTTGTCCACTCAAGTGATCCTCTAGCCTCGAGCTCCTGAGCAGCTAGGGCTACATACAATGCCAGAGTACTAGTTGTGTGGTTTGTTTAGTACTTAGAGCAGGCTTTCACATTTCATCTTTCCTAGAAGTGCTTAAGGATGGGAACTGCCACCCTGTGCCTTCAAAGTCCACATGCACCAGGCAGTAACAATTTTGAGTACAAGACCAGGAAGGCCACGTACTTTCACCCTGAGATGTAGCCCTCAGACTCTACTCACATGGTCCTGCACAAGTGGAGCAAAGCAGAAAAGCCCACGGCACTTCCCTGAGGCCATACTTCAAAAGCAGCCCCAAGTAGCACTGGGTGGGGTGGCGCACACCTGTAACCCCAGCACCCTGGGAGCCTGAGGTAGGCCCAGTGCAAGTTCCAGCCCAGCTTGAACAATCTAACAACTTAACAAGATTCAGTGTCAAAATAAAAAATAAAAAAAGCTTGGGAGGTAGTTCAGTGCAAAGGCCCAGGTTGCCTTGCCCAGAACCCCCCCAATCCCCAAAATAAGCTAAGTAGAAAAAATGGCATCAGTTTTCTTGTCCCCCATCCCCATGGCAGGGCACTCAAATAGTAAATTCTCACACGAAATCAAACTCCATCCTTCTTTCATGCCTACCAGTTCTGACCTTTGGCAAGCACAGCACACACCTCACCTGTTGTACATTAACCATTTCAGCAGATGAAAATAGCTATTGAGAGCTCTTTAGACCTCTTTCCAAGTACAAAACATAATGGTAAAGGTCTCAGGTGCTAGCATGTTGGGACAGGCACCCTGGGTAAGGACAATGACAGAGAACAGGAACAGAAGACAGGCCACCACCAAACATTCCTTCAAGTGTCTCCAACTGTGACACACCAGTGCCCCAGCCCCACCATGCTCCTGAGAATGGCACTGTGGGGGTCTCAGTCAGGAGGCAGCAAGGAACAACCACTTACAGTGCTTCAATATCAGCCCTAATGCAGGACCACTGCCCCTGTGGCCTTGCAGACTACGGGGGAAACAGTTCCTGAACAGCCCGGCGAGTATTCGCGCTGCATCTGCTACAGACCTCGAAGTGTTCTGGAGCCTCAGAAACCCTGACCGCCACTGTGACTTCAGACTTCACCCCAAGTTGTCCTCCCTGTGGAGTTCATGTTTGGCCCTCCAGAAGTCCTGAGAACCACATGGCAGAACCACGACCACACCTGTCCCTGCTGTTGTTCATCTCTAGCACTAAAAGCTGGATCACAGCAAGACAAAGGTCCAAACTGAAAGACCAATAACTGGGGAGAGTTCAGCACCCGCCGTATCACCCCTCTGTTTATCTGCCCATCTTCTAACACCATGCCAGCCTATTTCACATGGTCATTGCCCCCTGAGTCTACCAGTCAGTGTGGGAAGGGTGCCACTCCCGGGACTCCACACACCCAACCAGGCCACAGTCCTGCCACCAGGTTCCTACACTGGAGTTGTAACTGGTGCAGGAAGAGGAAGAGAGTAGTAGGAAGCGTTCTGCCCACCAGAAAGGCTATGGCTGTGGACGCTGGCCTCCTTCGGGTGAGCGGGTGAGGCTGACCGGGCCCTGCCTGGTCTTCCCCTGGGCAAGCACTGTGCAGGCTCCTTCCTGGGCTCTGTGAGTACCTCTAGGATCCTGCCAATAACTGTCTGCTCTGGCCCACGTTTGAGATGGGCTTGTGTCTCTGGCACTAACAGATCCTGATGCCAACATAACAGCTTGTGGTCTGCCGGATAAGTCTGAAAGGAGGTTGGCCCAGCACCTTAGCTATTGCACCCTTGACCAAACCATTCACTGAGCATGCTCCAGGCATGACTCCCAGTGCTAGAAAACACAAAGCTGCAAAAGACAAGAACTCTCATATTGAAAAGTCCAGCCTCCCATAACCAGAGGCTTAGAGAACATGCTGGAGAGGATACCCATCTCACCAGACATGACCCTACAAGCCAGCAGGCTCTGCCATCTAAGATGACAGCATCACAACTGAAAACAGGTCTGTGTTGGCTATGGTGGCACACACCTATAATCTCAACACTTCGGAGGCTGAGGCAGGGGGGTCACCAGGACTGAGTTCACTTTTCACCAGGTAAATGAGTTCATGGCCAGCCTGCACTACACAGCAAGGCCTTGTCTAAAACGAGAAAGGAATAAAGACTGTCTAGTCAAAGCTAGATTGTCAACATAACCAGGTACTTAGTGCTTTTCAAATGACTGGCCACAAGTACAGTAGAAATAAGGGGCCAGCGAGAACATCGCACACAGTAGCTAAACCATTACGACCTCAGCAGCAGCAGGAAGATGACCGCTGCCGTGTTGCACACGTATGTGGTCCCTGCGGACGTGATGGGCATTTACTAGTTAGGAATACATGGGAAACTATCTAAAAATCACCAGTCTCAAATGCTTACAGACCGAGAAGCGTGGCAAGCACAGGAGAGGAGGAAGGGAAGGCAGCTGTGCAGCCAAGTCTGCTGTTCGCAGCCGGTTCTGGAAGGACAGACGCTCACCCGTGGCAGAGGTGTCGGTTCCCCGTGCCAGCCTGCCGTCTGCATTGGACACCGACAGGAGCGGAGCACGAGACATTCTCTGACTTGCATCTCAGCTCAGAGTCCCCCAAAGACCTGCAGGCCTGGTCACAGGGCCTCATCAGCGAGGAAGGCAACATTCCCTTCCCACGGCAGACAGCATGGGGGGGCAGTGTGAGCGCATCTGGGATGAATAGGCCTTTTCACTGCCCCCTCCTCTCAGCTGCTTTTGTTGTGACAGAGGTAGCAACAAAGACATTTATCGCCAGGAACCCGCTCAGCAGCTGTTTCACACTGTTTCTTGTTTAACTTCTCTCACAAGCAATCAGAGTTATCTGCCCTGCAAAGCAGGTGTTCAAGGCAGGCGACTGTGTTCCCATTAGTTTTCTTAAGTACTAACAGGCCAGACTAGGACGTTATCTCCCGTGCTCCTGCGGATGCCTCGCCCTGTGCCTGCGACATCAGACATCACAAGTCCTGTCCTAGGCAGGGACGTTTGCTTCCGCCCGGCTGGTTCTAGTGTCTTCAAGCCTCTAATTCTAGCGGTAAGCAGAATCTAGGGGGCACAACCCCCCTTCTCCCCGATGCCTACATTGTGTCTCCTTTGGTGATGGGTTAGAGATGAAATAAGGCTGGAGACCTTTAAGTTCTTAGGAAAAAGCAGGCTTCTTAAGAAATGCCTGACTCCTTCAAAGCTCTCCTAGATGAAGGTGTTAATGCCAATACTCACCGTCCCATGCTCCAATCTAACATGGGAGTTTAATATAAAATATGGGAAAAAAATGCTTTTAAGGATGTTAAAGCCCTGGGCCTCCCCTCCTGTCAGCAGCAACAGCCGCTGTGCTGTGTTTGGGGGAGCAGCACCCTTCTCTACCGGGCCAAACCCCAGGGCCCTTCCGTTACCTTCAGGGCTCTCCTACCGTGGAGCCATTTTCATGAGAAGCAAACATCCGGTGACACATTTCTTTCTGTCTATCCATGTAGTCCCTGTAATAGCTGCAGAGAAACACACAGAGTCTGTTTGTAAGAGGTGACACCTGGTGGCTGGAATTCTCTGCTCAGGTACACGCACATCCCGCAGGCCTTCCACCTAAGCAGGAGGGGTGGAAGCCACACCGCAGAGGCAAAGAGACAGGCCAGGCTCCGGAGCCCGCAGGGGAACCCCAGGCACACACAGCTGCGTCTCTGAAAAGACAGCAGCCATGAAGGAGGCGGCTCTGGCCCTGGGTCTTAAGGCCAGCTCCTGCCAGGCGAGCCTTCCCAGCCAGTGACTTCTACGTGGACATTTTCTTGCTAGGTCATGATCAGACCCCCAAATTCCACCTTTGACCAGAGAGAATGCTTTTACATGGCAGAACAGGAATTCCCAGGGGTGCTAAAGGCCTGAAATGCACCCAGATCCAAACATAAGCTGCACACACCTCTTGCAATACTAATGCGGCCTTAGCCAGTAGTCTGGGTCCATGCTGAGAGGAGCGGAAAATCTCACCAAAGCAGAATAAAACTACACTTTCCAAACCAGTGGATATCTTACTGGGTAACTCCTATTTATTATTATTATTATTATTATTATTTATTTATTTATTTATTTAATGGATACAGGGTCTCACTACACAGTTCAGAATTACAGCGATCCTTCTGTCTCAGTCCCTGCCCCCCCCCCCCGTGCTGGAATTACAGGCATGTGCCACCATACCTGGTTTCAGGGCCATCACAGGGCACCCAAGGTTCTGGGGCCAGCAGGTTACATGGTACTGGGGATTGAACTTGGGTCCTTGTACTTGCCAGGCAGGCACTTAGACCACTGAGCTATCTCCCCAGCCCTAGGCGACTCCTATTTATACAAAAATATTTTTAAAGTTTTCTACAATAAACCCGTAATTTTTATATAGAAAAGTGACATTTCTAAGAGTAGTGTCTCTAACCGTTGGGTAAGAATAGACCTGGCCAGCGCCTTTTGGCCACAGCAGGACCTCTGTGGCTGCCCCATATTGGTGGGTCTCCCATGACAAATAGGGCTGGGTGTGAACTGCAAGACCCTTCAAGGCCACCTCTCTAGGCCTACCCACCTGTCTGCAGGAGGTAGGAAGTGGCCAGGCACTAAGGTAGGAATTCGTTCCCCTCTCTGCTGGGAACTTCTGGGTCAGGGCACCGAGCACCTGAGCAAAGCAGCCTGGCACCACCTCCTAGCGGGGCCTGGGCAACACTTCCCACCCGTCCTCTGCCTGGGCGATGCCTGAACAGTCCACATCGCATGTGCCCCTGGCTGCACAGCTGCCCACAGAGGTCTCACCTGGCCAATTTCTTCAGCTCGTTATTGATGTCATGATTGAAGGGCTGCTCCTTCTGGGCACGAACTAGGAAGTCTCGGGCCTGCTCGTAGTCAGTCAGGAGGACACAGGCCTGTCACAAAAGGGTGAACTTTAAAGGCAGACTGAGGCTCTACCTTGGGGTGCCAGAGTTGAGCACCATGGCTTCCTTCCTGGGGTGCTTGTTCTCAAGCCCCTCCCCCAGCTCACCTGTCCACACCTGAAGAGGGCCTTGGCGTTCTTTTGGTCAATGACCAGAGCCTGCTCTCCATAGCGCAGGGCTGTGGCAGGTTGGTGCAGCTTCAGGTACACCAAGGACAGGTTCAGGAGGAGGAGGAGCTTGGCAGCCTCCACCAGGTGCTGCTCCTCAGGGGGCACCAATCGCCTGCGCAGCAGCAGCAAGGCCTGGGGAGAGGGCAGGCAGATGGTCGGGAGGAAAAGCATACAGATCGAAAGCCCCAAAGAATTCACGTGCACAAAACCATCAGAGTGAAAAACCAAGTCACACAAGATCAATATAAAAAAGTCAAGTTTTGGGCTGGCCTAGGCGGAGGAGATAGCTCAGTGGAATAAACACTTGCCGAGCTGTTCTAAAGTCCAGAGTCATCATCTTGAACCCAGATAGCTGCTGGGCTCCAGGGAACCTGGCGTCCAGGCTCAGAATCTGCCGTCAAAGACTGTGACACGCTCCCCTGAGAACCGGCAGCCTTCCTGGACCCAGAAGTTCCCAGAAGAGAGGGGGACAAATTCCCACCTCAGTGCCCGGCCTCTTCCTACTTCCTGCAGACAGGTGGGTGGCCCTAGAGAGGTGGCCTTGAACGGTCTTGCAGTTCAGACCTGGTCCTGTTTGCCATGGGAGACCCCCCACATGGGGCTGCTGCAGGGGTCCTGTTGTGGCCCAAAAGGGCTGGTCAGGTCTATTCTTACCCATGGTAGAGCCACAGTCAGATCTAAACATGGAGCCTGCCGAGTCAGACATTTGCAGACTTATGGAAACAATTTCCTAAAAATAACATTCTGTCCAACCCACTGTCCTTGCCCATGGACGACCTGCTGCTGTCCCCAGAAAATATTGTAAACAGGCTGGGAGAAAACCCAGATGAAGATATCCAGGTGTCAGCAGCTCCTGTACCACAGCCCCCAACACCAGCAGCCCTTGCCCATCCTCGGTCCCCTGCCATAAGCCCTCCTGTGGCAACTATGGTTTCTGCCTTGGCTTCCTTCAATCTGGGACAGCCACGTTTGTCCCCTGCAGTACTCCTGCAACCTCAACAGGCTATTCTGCCAGCTGGTGAACACCTGCCCTGTGCAGGTATGGGCTGAATCACCAGCCCCACCTAGTACCCAGTCCACGCTGGCCATCTACAAGAAATCACAGGGGCTGGGGAGATAGCTTGGCAGTCTAAGTGCCTGCCTGGCAAGCACAAGGACCCCAGTTCGATCCCTAGTACCACATGCCACGCTGGCCCTGCAACCCCAGGTGGCCATGCCAGCCACCAAAACCAGCACATGACAGAAGTTGTGAGGTGCTCCCCCGTCATGAGCGCTGCTCCAACAGTGCTGGCCCGGCCCCTCCTCAGCATCTTGTCTGGGTGGAAGGAAGTCTGCATGTACCACACTGGGATGGCACAGCCAATTTTCACCACAGTGCGGCAGTGGCCTATGTCTGCCTGAGGGCGCTCCGACTGTACCACTATCCACTAAACTGCGTGGGGGCATGAACCGGAGGCCCAGTCTCATCGTGTTCACCCTGGAAGACTCCAGTGGGAAACTAACTGCTGGGGCAGAGCAGCTTTGAGGCGAGTGTGTGTTCCTGGCCTGGGAGAGACCCGGCCACAGAGGACGAAAATTTCCGAAAGAGAGGAGGGTCACGCCCCGTGCCAACAACAGGAAGCATTAGGTGATCACTGCCCACCAACACGAGCTCCTCTCCACAGCCAAAGAAAAAACCCTGGCTGGAGAATACTTCACCCTTAAGATCCGTGGGCATGAGTACTTTGAGATGCTCCCAGAGCTAAATGAGGCCTTGAGCCTCAGGATGCCCACACTGAGAAGGGGTAGGGGAGAGCAAGCCTTACCCCAGCTACCTGAAACCTAAGAAGGGGCAGTCTACTCCTGTCATAAAAAACTAATGTTCAAAAGATAAGGACCTGATTCCGACTGACATCCTTTGCCTCTCCTCCCCCGTCAATCATGTACCCCAGCCCCCACTCTGCCTTGCCCTGGGATTTGGGACTCTGGTGCTTGCATCCCTTCCGGGTGTAGGTGTGCCTCAGAAAGGTGCAGGAGTGCTGCCTGGACACCATGCAAGAAAGTGGCCTGTCCTGGTATCTTAGAAGGGGTGGTGGGAGCTAGGATGGGCCAGTTGGGTTTTTAATACATTAACTGTGAGGAGACTTAGGAGAGGGAAGAAAACATTCTTGCACATAAGGATCAGCGTTTACAACCAGCCATATGCTCAGCTGGAAGCCCAGTTCTCCAATTGAGCTCACCGGAGGAGCTACAGCAGGTCGTTTCTCAGCCCCCAACTTGAATACCCACATCCATGAAATGCTGATCACCACCACCTACCAGGTTTTGTTGTGAGTGCTGATCAAAGAATGTACGTCTGACCTTACATCCGTGGGGGCTGGGGGCAGAGTTTCCAAGGTTAGGACTCCGGCCAAAGCTCAGCAGCCCCCGCCAAACGTGCTGACCTCGGCACCGGAAAGGAAATCTCACCCGCTCACGCCCGCAGGCCTCCAGCTCCAGCGCCCAGGGGGTCTGCACCCACCAAAACCCATCTTACTTCCCCTACACACACAGGGGCAGCTTCTTGTGTACTCTGGGAGGCACAGCTATACTTGTCACCCTCATGCTTTTCCTTTTATGTCAGTTTCTTATTTTACAATAGAACTTTGCTATCAAAAAATATATATACAAAAGTCCCAGAATTTTTTTCTTTTCTTGGCACCAAGTATCACACTCAGGATCCTGCACTTGCCTGGCAGGCGCTGTGCCACTGAGCTATACTCCCGGCCCAAAGTCCTGTGATTTCTGGTGGGAAATCCATGCAGAGCCTGCGGCTGAGTGAGATAGAAGACGCTCACTGCGCTCTTCTCCAGCTCTGTAGGAATAAGCAAGGTGTATACCAATAAGAGTGAGGACAGGAAGGGCATACATGGCCCACTGTGCAGGTGGGGACTGCAGTGGGGTGACAAGAATAGCAGAGACGGGCAGTGACAAACTAGAAGTGGAGCTGTTGGAGGAACAGGTCCTATGTTCCCTTCTGTCTCACTGGGTCTAGATACGAGCACCTCTGGAGTTGGGCTACTTCTGGAGAAACGGAAGCAAAGGAGCTCTTGGTTCAGGGGCAAGACGCACAGCCTTCCCTTGCCGCCGTGCTCACTCCAGAGTAGTGCAGGCCGGGATCGACCCCGGTCAGGAGGTGCAGGCCTAGGACACCTACGCACTGCTGTGCACAGCCACCATCGGGCCACACTGCGTCCCACCAGGCCCTTGGGGCTCCTGAGCAGCTTTCTGATGCCCTTCCAAATTTTAGTGGTCAGCCAAAGATCACAGCCTCAGTGGACAAGGGCTCCTGTCTCCCAGCAGCTGTCTTCCCTTCTTTCACAGGAACCAGATCTCCTTGCCGGACACATGTCTGTCTAGGTCAAGGGCACTTGCTAGTCTTCCGGCAGCAAGGGACGGCCAGAGCAGCCTCAGTATTCCTGCAGTCCGTGGCAAGACTGCAGGCTGGGCTGCATCCTCTCAGCCCTTTGCTTCCTTCTGCCTCCCAGAACTCAGAGACCACAGCCCCAACGCTGGCCCCACCCCCGAAGCGAAAAGTCTTGGGACCCAAACTCTGTGCTGCGGGGCTACTGCAACCCTAGTCAACGCCCATCCATCCAGTCACCAAAGAAATGCTTGTCTTTATGTCACCGTTCCTCCTGGTCTTTTGGCAATTGCCAACCAACTCTGCAATTCTGCCATGTACAGAAAGCCACACAAAGAGAACTGAGACTAGGAAAGACGATTCTGAGAAAACTTGAAAAAGAAACAAGATAATGTATACATAACGTAAGAACAGAATGCCAGAAGACAGAAATGAAATAAAGTATATCTCTGAAGTTAAAAAAAAATTCTCAAAAAAAGTCTTTTTTCTTGAGATGGCCTTTGCGCTGGTGCCTTAGCTGGTCTGGAACTGGTGGGCTTGGGCCACCCCCTTGTCTCAGTTCCTGAGGAGCTGGGGTTGTGCGCCCCACTTGGCAAAAAGTACTTTAAGTGAAAAAAGTTCCTTAGAAGAGAAGGCAAAATAGTCAGGAGAGGGGCAGGGAGATGGCTCAGTAGAATAAATGCTTGCCTGGCAAGCGCAAGGGCCTGAGTTCAATCCCCGGTTCCTAAAAAAAAAAAAAAAAAAAAAAAAAAAAAAAAGGTCAGGAAAATCTCACTGACATTACAGAGGAGGGGGGGGGAGAAAGAGTCTAAGGGGAAGGGGGTTAAAAAAAGAGGATGACTCAAGGTGAGGAGCCTAACAGTTAATGATTAATAGAAGTTTTATAAAAAGAGAACAGAGGAGAGAGTCTGGGTAAATTATCAGAGAAATAATTTAAGTTCCCCAGAACTGAGGAAAAATCTCCTCAATAAGATGGACAAATGGCTCAACACTATGAAGTTTTAAATGGTATACACACGTGCGTGCATACACACACACGTGAGCGCACAACTGTAAAATGCAAGGATACGGGAGGGAGAATATCTTAAAGACTACAAAGAAAAATAAGGCTATGTATATAGCAAGCTCCACGGTATCAGATGTGTATATCTAGCAACATCAGACTTAATAGTAACTCTACAAAAATAAAAAGGAAGTTTTAGCCACACAATTGTATTCTCTATCAAAAGGAATGCACGGAGAAAAACGGTAGCAAATCCTTGGAGAAGAACAAGAGATGCCCCAGGACAAAAGCTGTGCTGCAAGCCCCAAGAGCCCCCAGCAGGAATGGTGCCAGGGCCTCAGAGAGGCTTCCTAACCAGGCACAGCGGTGCACAGCTGTGATCCCAGCACTCGAGGAGGCTGAGGCAGGAGGACTGCGAGTTCGAGTCCAGTCTGGACAATTTAGAGACTGCTGTAAAAAAAATTAAAAAGGCTTGGGATGCAGCTCAGTGTGAAGGGCCTGGGTTCAATTCCCTGTAAAGCCAAAAAGTGTGTGTGTGTGTGTGTGTGTGTGTGTGTGTGTTCCCTTCTTGTAGGAAAGTGTGTAAGGAAACAGCAGAGCGCAAAGAGAAAACTGAGCAACCAAGCAGTAACTTAAGGGGCAAAGAGGAGTACTGCACGAGAGACGGGATGAAGTGTGGAAAACTCCTTAGCTCAGCAGGATGTAATATTTATACAAGCTGAATAATGTAAAACTGAGTATCAATTTTTAAAATGATGACACACTGATATGAAGAAAATAGAAATGAGAGTGAGAACCAAAGCCTCACCTTCCATAATGAGAAACTAAAAGATGTCAAAAAAGAGCAAGCCATTTGTCAAGGCTGAGTAGAGAGAAAAGAGGAGAAGCAATTAGAAAACGGTGGCCCTGGGGCAACTGGGGAAGGAGGACGGGGGCGGAGTGAGTGAGGGGTACCAGGGTGAGCAAGCGGGCTCTTGGGAAGTCTCACTGCTGACAAGATCCAAGACTGAATCACACCCCTCGCCTTGCAAGCGTAGGCTACTGTCTACTCCAAAGACGTGGCAAACACATTTGCTCTCGTCTCCTCTGCACACATGGATGTGAAGTCAGACGTGGCAGGTGCTGTTACCTAGCGTCTGCCCTCCCCTCTGACAGAAAGCCCACTTCATTCCTGACAGCACTGGGCTGGGGTTGAGCCCCAAGGGGGAACACTTGCCCAGCACACACAAGAGCCTTGGGTGAGCCACTGCACAGCAAAACCAAACCCTCTCATTTCCCAGCATCCCATGCGGCTAGGGTGTCCCTAGAACATGGATCCTGGCAACAAGATGTAAGGTCCCTGGGACAGGCAGGGATGGAAGCTTCTGGAAAGTGGTTCGCACAACACACACAACACAGACCCACATGCACATACACACTACACACACCAGACCCTGCTTCCCTCCCTTCTTCCAGCCAGGATGACTCTGTGATGCTGAAGACCAAGTGACTTTCTTGAGAAAACAAACAAGGAATGTCTAGGACGGCTAAGTGACAGAAAGGACGTGGGCTCCCTGAGGGCAGTGTGGGACTGCTACCCCATCCCTGCATGGTGAAAAGACACATGTGCCGATTCTCAGGATCATGCTGCTTTCGGCTGAATGCAAATCCCGAAGAGCTGCTGTTTAGTATACAAGTAGGATCAAATCAAAACATCCCTACATTCTGTCCTGCTCACCTGGGGGTACTGGAGGGCAGCTGGGTGCACCGAAAGTGCTCTTGATGTTTGCTGAATGAATTCTAAAGGACACAGAGAAGGGCTGCAGCATGATGCAGCGTCACAGGAGAAGCCTGACACACCAGAACCACCCAGAGTGACACTAATCTCTGCCATCTGAAGTACCTGAAATGCAGGGGCAGATGGGGTGGAGAACTGGCAGGTGGAGGATCAAATACTGGGAGGATGTTTTCTTTTAAGACAGGGTCTTACTCTATAGTACGGGATGGCCTCAAATTTGTACAATCCCCCTGCCTCAGTCTCCCAAGCGCTGAGATTACAGGCCGGAGCCACTATACCTGGCTTGAGAGGATTACTTTCTAATTAGTGAATTTTATTTTTTAGAGCCCTGAGATGGAATTTGTGTGTGTGTGTGTGTGTGTGTGTGTGTGTGTGTGTGTATGTGTGTGTGCGCGCGTGCCACCAGGGTTCAAACTGGGGACCTTGCACTTGCCAGACAGGTGCTTATGCTGCTGAGCTATCTCCCCAGCCTGAGATGGAAATTTTTAAAATATCTAATTAAAGTATATACTCATGCAGGTAAGTCCGAAATAGTACACTGCTCAATGAATTTTCAAAACTAAAATGCACCATTGTAACAACCACCAGATGAACATACTCAATGTCACATCTCCTCTGAGACCCTGTCCCCTCCCAGTCACCACCTAACACAAGGATTTTTTATTGTTTATTTTTTTTTTATTTTAACATTTAGTGTGTGTGTGTGTGTGTGTGTGTGTGTGTGTGTGTATGTGTGTGGCCAGCTCAGCCCACCAGGGGGCGCGGCTGGCTGGCATGTGGTACTGGAGGATTGAACCACGGTCCCTGTGCTTTGCCAAGCTTGTTCCAAGTAGGTGCTTTAGACCACTGAGCCATCTCTCCAGCCCCAAGGATTTTTTAAATAACTATTTATTTGGTACAGTGTCTTGCTATGCAGCTCGCTCAGAGCAGCTCAGACTCAGTGATCCTCCTGTCTCAGCCTTCCTGGTGCTGGCATTACAGGCATGTGCCACCACACACGGCATGAGGTACCCAGGGATTGAACTCAGGTCTTTGTGCTCGCCAGGCAGGCGCTTAGACGGCCAAGCTATTTCTCCAACCCTGATGATTTTCTTTAGTGGGATTTTTCTTAATGGCTGCCCACAGGGCACACAGGAAGAAGTCAATTTTTCAAGCCAGGAGGTTCTCAGGCTCTATACTTAACTTTTAGCATACTCTTACCCGTTTATACCTCACTTTGGCATCATAGAAGCGATTCTGGCGGAAAAGGTAGTTTCCAAGGTCCTTTTCGGTCACTGCCACTTTGAGGACTTTCTGAAGTGGAAACTGGTCTTGTTGTTCCTGAGCACCAAAGACAGAGATAGTAAGAAAGCCAAAGCCACAGTGCCACCATGGAAGTGGTGTGGTGCGCATGCTCAGCTGGGAAACTTCAAACTTGTTCACAACCCTGTGAACAAGGACCTCTGAGTGCCATCAGTGTCACTGCGGTGTTGCTGGCCCCCTCCTCCAGACCACACCAAAAGAAAGCCTGCTGCTCTCTTTAGCCCTCCTCATCAGCCAACTCCACAGACTTGGGAATGGTGAAGCTCAAGCTCACAGCCACTGTTCGTCCAACAGGCTGTCAGCAGGTCCTGTTTGCTCAGAGCCCTGGTCTCTCTGGCCCCTCAATGGAATCACCTGTGGACACTCTGTCCTGGCCCTACCCAGAGAGCCTAAATTAATATCCCAGATGCAGGACCCAGGCATTGGCAGGAACCTCTGCTCTGTGGAAAGAGGACAGGGTGAGACCCTCAGGAGGCATGCTGGGAACAACTTAGCTGAGAACATGTCCTGTCGTATAGGGATACAGCACTCCAGACATCAATGGTTACATGTGCCATCAGCGTGCGACAGACAGAATGGTAAACAGTGAACGTGACGGGCAGGTTAAAAGGCCTGTGCCTGAGAGACACGTATAAGGGAAAGGGCACAAAGGAAAGGACAGGCTTAAATTACTAGGACAGTGACCATGCATCCCAGTTTTCTTGACACTGTCCTGGTTTACACGTGATGTCCTGGCTGTGTCATCCAGCTAACAGCTGCTTTCAGTCTCAGGGTCCTGGGCTGACCACCGTCTACATACTTGCTCTAGAAATCAGTTACCAAGGCTCAATTGGCTGAAAACTAAACAGTGTAGAAAAGCAAATGTGCACTGTCCTGGACAGAAAACAGACCAGAGCCTTACCAGACAGGCAAGACCTGAGGGAGAGGCCAAGAGGCCCAGGGTGGAACCAGGGCCTATGAACTTCATCAGCATAGCCCGTCTAGAACCACCCCTGTCTCTGGGAAGTGCTGCCGCCTGTGTTCTAGAACTTACAGCTGAGAGGGCACAGAACTTGTCTGACTCAGCAGAGTCAAGGAAGTCGAGCAGTTCAATCTCAAACAGGACGGTGGCATTTGGAGGGATGAGGGGTGGGCAACCCAGGGCTCCGTAGGCGTAAGTCGGCTTGAACAGAAATCTGGCCAGCTCCCCTCTCCGCATGCTCAGCAGGCCCAGCTCCATGCCCCAAAGTGTAATATCTGAAAGAAGGAGACCCAGAATGTGGGTAAAGCTCACCCAGCACCCTGTTTGGTGCTAGCAATTTCTTTTCCCTCCAAGTCAAAACCTTTCCAGGTGACCGCCCAGGCCTTCTACCCTGTGGTCCCAACTCACAGCCCCTGCCACTCCCAAACTCCAGCTTCTCCAGGCTCAGCCATATCCTGGCCTCTACACTCCCATCACAGGCTTCCTTCTTTCTGAACATCGTTGTCCTCCTCATTCCTTCCACCCTTACTAGCATCTTACGCTTCATTATATTTTTTTTTTTAACGTATTTGGTACAGGGTCTCACTACGTAGGTTGGACTCCCAGTGATTCTCCTGTTTTCAGCCTCCCAAGTGCTGGGATTACAGGTGCGCGCCACCATGCCCAGTCTCAATTGCTTCTCAGTGCACCCCAGGGGTGGGGCCAGCATGGCTCCCCAGGGAACAAACCCCAGCCTCTGTGCTCTGCCTAAGCAGGTGCTTTAGTCCACTGAACTATCTGGCCTGCCTGCACATCTTACACTTCAGGGCTGGTTCCAAGAGCCTCCTCTTCCACGGAGCCTTCTATAATCGCCCAGCTGGAACTAACTGCACCTTAATCAAGCACATGCCAACACCACTCCGCTCTCTCAACCACTCAGCCAATTCTACCAGGTTAGTGTAGTTGTCTGAAGGTAGGTCAATCCCTGTGACCAAAGCGAACCCTTAAGGGCACAGAGTTAAGTCATCTGAGCACAACCTCTATCATGCATGGTGGGAAAGGAGCGCTCAATAATTAATCCACAGTTAAAAATGCTCCATGAGATTGGGTGTCCTGAAGAATTTCTGTAATCCCAGCACTTGGGAAGCTGACGCAGGAGGATCATTGTGAATTTAAGGCCAGCCTGGAACTATACAATGAGCTCAAGGCCTGCCTGAACTATATAGTGAAACACTGTCTCAAAAAGACAGGGGAAAAAACTCCACAATGACGTTAGGATGTAAATTTAGCTTTGCCAGGTAGACTGCCCCCCCAAAATCTGGGTGTCAAGGGGAAATGGGGAAGAGAACATGGCTGATTCACTGAAAGCCACCCTCACAGAAACCAGCCCTGGACACAGTCTGTGCTCTGCACACACTTCGAATCCAACAGTGTTGTGTGTTTTTTCATTTTGTCCTTCTGAGACAGGGCCTTGCTATGCAGTTCAGGCTGGCCTTGAGCTCACTTTGTAGCCCATGCTGGTCTCGAACTTGCAGTAATCCTCCTGCCTCAGCCTCCCAAAGTGCTGGGATTAGAGTCATGCGCTCCTACACCCCAGCATTCTGAAAGCACTGTGATTCATTTGTCCCCAAGTAATCCTGCCATTTCAAGCTCCCGGTCTCAATTTACCCTCGCCAAGCTTCATGAGCCGAGGTGTTTTCCGGAAGCAGTTAGAGTCAAAGGGCTTGTCCATGTGCTCCAGGTATCCAGAGTATTTCACTAGGACAGAAGAAAGACAGTGAAGCAGAAACAGGCCCAAGCACACCCGCTTGGCTCTATCACACCACATCTGGACTTGTCAAGGAGGAATGGCGGAACTCTGGAGTTTAACTGCGGCTGTGAGCCACAGCACTCTTCTGACCTCTGGTCGCTGGCCCGGCCTTGAGGCCCAAGGGCTCTGCTGCTGTCTCTAGCACTTTGCTCACCACTTGGATGCAAAGCAGGGAGGAAAGGCCTTGCTTTCCTCTTAAGTTCCCCGGTCCAAAGAAAGCCTTTCCAATCCTGTCCTGTAAATGTGCCTCTCCCCCACACTAGGGCCTTCCGGCTAAGCTACAAACCCAGCTGGGGTTTTTTTGCTTTTGGTTTTGGGGTTTTTTTTGTTTGTTTGTTTGCTCTTGTTTTTTTGGACAGGGTGTACAGGGTCTCACAGAGTAGATCGGACTCGTAGTGATCCTCCTGTTTGTAGCCTCCCAAGTGCTGAGATTACAGGTGCGAACTCCCAGCCTCTATGTCTGCCTAAGCAGGCGCTTTAATTCGCTGAGCTATTAGGCCGGCCCCCTCCCAGCTGTTTTTTAAATTTTCAATTTTGAGACCAGGTCTCACCTAAATGGCCCAGGCTGGGCTCCAATTTACAATCTTCCCATCTCAGCCTCCCACGTGTGATACACCACCCAGGCCACAAAGTTGTTTTACAATGTGCCATCCTTCTCCCAAAGGGCCATCACAGTTTCCTAAAGACAAAAAGTCTGGCTGCAACCAACCATACCAAGCACAGAGGCCTCACGTGTCACCAGATCTCCAGCACCTTCTCGGATGACATCCTTCAGTACACCCCTGTCCCCGGATATGTCCAGCATCTTCTGACTTAACCTCTGGTACTGCGACTAGTGGAAAGCAAAGGCCAGACCTCAGTGCCTCATGGATATGTGAGGGTGGCTACCCCAGGTCAACGACCCCAAAGCGGTGTCCCAGGCGCCCTCACTTGGCCCAGTGGGTGCTCCCTGCCCAGGACTCCTGAGTGCTGGGCGCTTCCCCCCATTTCCACGCGGCCTGGCCTCCCTGCCAAGAGAGCGCTCAGGCCACCCTCCCGCGGGGCTATGACTGCAGCAGGTTCCTACTTGGCAGTCGGCACCCGCCACAGGCATCTCATTCTGGGACCGCGAGGAGGTATTCATCACTCCCGCCCAACCGCCATCAACAGCCTTCGTGCTGCGAGGCACGTGACGGACCGGGGAGTGCTGAGCACCAGAGGAGGGGGTGGGCCCAGCGTGAGCATGTGACCAGGCACGCAGAGACTGATTGGTGGTGGGGCAGGGCGGGGTGGGGCGGGGGTGGGGTGCGCAGAGCATGCTGGGGCACGTGCCTGGGGACGTGAGAGCTTGAGGTGCTCACCCTGAGCACGTGACTGCTTGCGCGGAGGATGGTGGGGCACGTGACTGGGCGCGGTGCGGGATGGGGGATGTGACAGGTCCCACAGAGCACAAAAAAACTTGCAGGTACAGCATGAGGGGCAGAGGGGGGGCACAGGGAGTGGTAGGTAGCTTAGGGAGGTGCAGGGAACAGTAGGGACATGGGTGGGACGCCCAACTGGGGCAGGGGGCAACTACAGCTGCAGACAGGGTCCAGCTCTGACCTTATTTCTCGAGAATAACCTCTCCAAAGGGTGACCATTTTATTACCAACCGTTCACCCTGTGGTCTCTCTTCCTTCCCCTTCAATACCACTCTCCCCTGCCTCCACCAAGATAACACAACTGGTCTTGTGGTTTGATCCCTCAGGCCTCTCTTTGTCCTCTGGCTACCAGACTCTTGTCAGCACTTGACAAAGTTGACTTCTCTGACCTTTAAGCACTTTTTCTCTTGGCCTCTGGATTAGTGTTAGTGTTCTATCACTGTAGTAACAAAGTACCACAAAGCTAGCAGCTTATGGCAGCACCCACTTCTTAGCTCACAGCTGAATAGCTTAGAAGTTCTCTCTGGGCCCAGATCAAAGTGTCAGCCAGGCTGTGTTACTTGCTGCCCTGGGAAGAGGCCAGATCCAAGTCCATTCAGATTGTTGGCAGAATCCACATTCCTGCAGCTCTCACTCGGTATGACGTCACCGTCTTGAGGCTCCCATCCAGTGGATTCTACTTGTGCTTGGCATCCTCTTCAGCCACATCTTTCTCTGAGTCCAGCCAAATAAAATTCTCTGCTGTTAAGGGCTCCTGTGATTAAACTGGGCTTTCTTTGATCATTCAGGTCCATGACCTTAACCAAATCTACAAAGTAGTCTTTCTTTTGCTATGTAAGGTAACATTCACAGATTCCAGGAATTGTGGGGTAGAGATCTTTGAGCTATTCAACCTCCCACGGATTCCAGGGCACAGCCCTCTCCCTGGCTTCCTCCTACCTCTCTGGCCAGCCTTTCTTAGCCACCCTTCTCTTCCTGACCCCTAAAGCACTAGCAGACTCAGTGCCCATCCTTCCTTGAATCTCTTCATGTCCAATTGTAGTTTTCAGTCTCGGAGATCCCAGCTGTTCCTAAAGCTTTACATACGTTGTACCTAAGCGTACGGGACAAATGTGCTGCCAGCTTGTGGCCCCCACAGAACTGCAGAGCTGCAAAGATCCAGCCTCCTGTGTTCAGTGATTCGCAACGGGGAGCCCAATACCAGCAGCCTGCATGTTGCCAAAGACCTTTCTAGAAATGAACACTTTTTAAAATGTTTTTTTTCTGGCAATGAGGATTGAACTAGAACCTTCCTTGCACATGCTAGGCGAGCACTCCACCACTGAGATACATCTCCAATCACTTTTTAAAACTTTGAGTTGGACTCTTGCTATTTTTTCCCAGGCTGGCCTCAAATCTGTGACCTTTCTGCCTCAGCCTCCTGAGAAGCTGGAATTACAAGGATATGCTACTATGCCCGTCTTAGAGGTTTACTTTCTTGGTTCTGTCCATGTACTCCTGAAACACCCTGGGGCAGGGGCCCAGCAGTCTATGTGTTGACAGGCCCTCCACGGAATTGTGGTGTTTACTGAAATCTGCAGCCCGTGGGCCACTCAGCCTCTGGATGTTGCAAGCATCTGTCTCTGGATTTCCCCCTTCTACTCTTCTCATCTTGTTTTGTCACTGTCACTGACTGCCATCACAGGCCATCACAGACCACGCACCCAGGTGCTCAGGCCACTGTGATCCATTATCTGGGGCCATAACAGCAAGAGTGCTCTGTTGAAAATATAAATCGGGTGCTACTTCCTTACTTTAAAGCACTCAGTGTTCAATCTCCAGCACCCAAGTGGGGAAACGCTTCCCGATGATTCCCACTGCCTGGGGAGTCAAAGCTCAACTTCGGCCCTGGCGCACAGGGCAGCCCTGCCTCCACTCAGGCCTCATCTCCTGCAGCCCCTACTTCCTTGTTGTGTTCCTGCGACAGCTCCCCTCTCTAGGGTACCTTGCAGATACCAACCTCTTCCCAGCCCTTTGTTCTTGCTGACCTACTGTCTGGGCAGCCGTTCACGTGGCTGGCTGCTTCATATTCTTTACCTTATTAAGTAAAATTTTGTAGGAGGCCATGAATCTGGGTTGGGCACCTTCGCAAGGCCTGGCAGACCAAACCAATGTAGAAGAGTAACTGAGCTTTGGTTGGCCACAGGAGGTTCTATGCTGTTAACCAATAAAGCTGTAAAAAAAAAAAAAAAAAATCCAACTAGTCAAGCTGTAACCAATAGACTAAACTGAAGCTAATTAAGTTGCTGTCTATGCCTTGCTCCCTGCTTTTTTTTTTTTTTTTTTTTGCTTCAAATTCCTGGTTTAATAAGGACTTGTTTATTTTGAGAAAAAAGATCCCAAACATCAGGC